GGGTCGGCGCGGGCGTGAGGCAGGCGGCGGGCAGCTCGCCCTCGCCCAGCTCCAGGCTGGCCTGCTTGCTGCCGAAGGAATCCCTCAGGCTGAGCAGCTGCTCCTCCTTCTCCCGCAGCGAGGCTCGGCCCTCCCGCAGCTGGGAGCGCAGCCCCACAATCTCACTCAACTTCTGCGACACGTCGGCCTGCGAGTCCTTCAGCTGCTGCTTCAAGAGGGAAATCTCACCAGCCTTCTGGCACACCTGGGCAGGGCAGGTGAGAAGAGAGGCCAGAATAAAAGCAGAGCTCTGCTCCCCCAAGCCTGCCCCTTATCTAACCCCTTGGACACCCAGCTTCTCCAGGTCTCCAGCTCAGCCCTTCCACAGGCAGAAATGACACCTGGGACTCCCTGCCCCAACTCAGGATAGAGAGGGATGATCTCATCCAGCTCTGGGACTGCCTCTGGTCCTCCCAGACTCTCCTGATGGACTGGGTGTCCCCTACCCCTCCACTCCCCTTTCTGACAGTGGTGGGCTACTGTGCTGGGCTGGCCCAGACGGAACTGGACACACAAGGGGAAGGCCCAAGCCCCCAGCCCGCACCTCCCACTTAGTTTCCTCCATCCGGGGCAGGAAGTCGGCCTGCTCCTTCTGGCAGGCGGCCACCTTGTCCTCTAGCTCTTCCCGCTGCCGCATGAGCCGGGCCGCCTCCTCCTGCAGTTGCTTCTTGTCCTGCTGCAGCCGCAACACCTGCAGCTGTAGGCCCTGCTGGGCACGCTGGGCGCAGCGGGCCACCTGCTGCAGCTTCCCGCTGCAGCCCTGCCTCAGCTCGGCCAGCTCCCGCTCCCATGCCTTCTGCCGCTCCTCCAGGACCTGGGCCACGGCTGCCTCGCTCTGCTCCAGGCTGCGCCGCAGAGCTGCCACCTCCTGCTCCTTCTCCCACAACCGCTCCTCCAGCTCCTGGATCAGAGCACTGGGCGAGGGTGGTGAGCAGGCCGCAAACGGCAGGGGGCGCGCCGCGGGTGGCCTGGCCGCCCCATGGATGACGATGACCCACTCTTGCTGGAGGCCCGCCCACTGTCGGAGGTCCCCAGGTCCTGGTAGCCTGACCCCCCACCACTGCTGCCACCACTGCCACTACCATAACTGGCAGTGCCGATGCGGTTGATGTGGCTGGTGGAGGCACTGAGGGGCGCCAGGTGCTGGCTATAGCTGGAGCTGTAGGTGGGCAGGCTGGTGAGCGAGTTCCGGCCCGAGTCTGAAAGGCCACCCCCACTCCCGCCTGCTGGGGTCATGGTCCGAGACTTGTCCAGTCCACCCTTAAGGCCGCCAGGGCCCTGTCGTCCCTCAGGGGTCCCGTTGGTCTGTGGGGGACACAAGTTCTGCATGGAGTGGAAATTCTTGGGTACGACAGGCTTGAAGGCCGATGGCCGAACTAGCGGCTCCGAGCACTGCATAAAAGCAAGGAAGAGGGGGTGGGCATGGGGAGGAGCCCTTCAGTTGACCCTGGCCACTTCCCTCTGGTGGACGTGTTCAGCCCCACCCCTGGCCCTACTGGGTCTCCATCCTGAGAGGAGATGGAGACTGTCCCCACTTCATGGCTTCCCCAAGCTAGAGCTCTGTCCTGGTCCCCCAGCTGGACCTAGCCCCAAGGCTCCACTCCATGGCTCTCCAGCTCAGCCTCCAGGAAGCCCCCCCACCCAGAGAAAGGCCTGCGGGTCTCAGGCCCGGGGACTGACCTGGTCTAGCTTGCCAGAGGTGGCCAGGAGCTTGGGTGGATGGCTGGGCTCACGATACTGTGGTGGGGCCTTGTCACTGCCACCACTGCTGCTGCTGCCGCCACTGCTGCCCACCACATTGCCACAGACATCCGTGTGGTCACTGCCCCGCAGCTCGCCATTGAGGTAGAGAGAGTTGGCGAGAGCCTTGTCCTCTGAGGGGTAGCGGCCTGGCCTCTCCCTGCTAGCCCCACTGCTACGGGGGCCAGGGAAACTGCCCTGGCTGCCCCCACCTCCCGTGCGGGTGCCCACGCTCTTCATGGCAAATTCCTGGGCATGGGCCACTCCACTGCCCATGGCCAGGCGGGGGTCTGGGGGCCCAAGCTCAGAGGGCCGCGGGGCAAAGGCCAGGAGGGGATCCCGCCCCGGGTCAGCACGCACAGGTAGTGTCTCCAGCTTCGCCATGACTAAGCCAGGGGAGCACTGTGGGCACAGGTGGGAAGGCAGAGACAGGTCAGATCCCACCCCAATCTCACCCACCCAGCTAAGTGAGCCCCAGCGCCACCCTGCCCCATAGCCTCCCCTTTCTTACAATGGGTACAGGTGTTCCCAGACATCTAAGGTGAAGGGATAGGGCTGGGGTAAAACTACCAGCTGAATAATGAGGCTGCCTGTTGCCCACCTGACAAAGTCCAAGCCCCTAGAGTCATGCACATACCCTCCCGGCTTTGCTCAGCCTTCCACTCCTCCGCGGCTGCCTCAACCCCACCTCCACCTCCTCCGGGAGCTTCCCAGCTAGTGTCCTCTTCAACTCTGCTGAGCCCTAGGGGTCTGTACCCTGGGTCTGGGCTCCTACATCCCAACCTCATGGGCTGGAGAGATGGGGTTGGAAGGGGAGAGCAGTCCTGAAATCCAGTAGGGACCCCTGGAAGCCAGAGACGGAAGAGAAACATACCCTATCCAAAAATTGAGGAGGTCCTTCCCAGGCCCCTAACCTAGGGTGCTGCGGTCAAGTGGGCAGAAGTGGACGCTCACTGCCAGCGCAGGCTTCTCTCCTTGCCTCTCCCAGAGGGTGGGGGGCCGAAGGCTCCTCAAGCCCAGGACCCTCCAAGGCCCCGTGTGCAGGGGCCATGTGTCTCGCTCTCGCAGTCAGGGCTCGGCCCGATCCAGCTGCACGACTTTGGACCTGCCGCCAGCAAAGCCATTCCAGGCTGCAGTTTCCTTCTCTGCGAAATGGGAGGAACCGAGGACCTACCTCCAGGGGCTGCCACTTGCCAGGCTCCCTGAGGTCACAGGAGCAAGCGGTGCGGGGACCGTGGGGGTCAGGCAGATGCAGTCACTGCAGTGCACTGCTGGGTTGCAGGTGGGCGCTGCCACCAGCATGGCCCCGCCCGGGTGGACAAACCCAGAGCCTCGGCCTCAGCGGGTGGCAGGGGAGTCCTCCCAGAGGTTTTCAAAACTCAGCCGCACAGAGGTCTGGCATGAGAGGGTTCCTTCTCTGAGGTCAGTACTCCTCAGAGGTCTCCCGGCTGGCTGAGGCGAGCTGTGGACGCCGGGCCGCCATCTGCTGGCACGAATGAACCTCCCTCCCCGCCTGCGTTTCCCACAGGTG